GTAGACGTGTGGATTGAAGAACAACTAACAGACATCTCTACAAAGGCTCTCAACTTGTCTGAACTATTTTGAGCAATGATATTTCTGCACTTACAACCAGCTAAAAGATTATTCATCTCTTCTTTTTTTTCCTTTTCTTTTTCCTTTCAGGTATGAAAAAGATTTCATTCATGCCAAAAATATAAAAGGGGCCGACCCAGTTCAAATACCCACTTCGTGAGTGTCTGGGGAAGGGAATACTCTAGGCAGTCTTTCCCCTGCTTTTTGCAGAGAGGCTGATTCGAACCCGCGACCTGACACACCACGGCAAGCAAGCTTACCGCTGAGCCAAGCCGGCCCTTCGCCAAAAATATAAAAATGAAAAATAAAAATAAAAAAATAAAAATGCATATGCACATCAACAAGAACGGCAGTCTCATAATATATTTACATTTGTTCAAGGAAATTTAGATGGATGAAAAAGAATAGATGAACGTAGACTAAGAAACAATAATCACATGCAAAAAAATTGCAGTGAGCTTACTTTTAGAGGAACAGAGAAGTTTGCAGTGCGCATGATGGCTTCAGCAATAGCATGAGCATACCAAGGCTGCAAAAAAATCAAATTAAAAAAACAAATTTCAGAACATAAAAGAGTTAAAATGCTGCATCAAGATATATGATTGGGTCATTTCAAAAAATACAGCTGTTTCAAGCACCAAAAACTGATATCATTAAACTTTAATAATATACCCAAGAAAATACATGCATAAGTTCTGAAAATTGCATACCAAAGCTCTAATGTCCAATATGTGCTTGGCTTTACATTTAAACTTCAATGATCAATTCCACCATAGAAAAAGGATAAACTTGAATATTCCAAGGTATATTGTCCCACAGAGTGTTTAAATCAAAAGAAAAGGAAAATATTTTAAGATTTTCATTTCAATCCATGAAAATTTTACCAAGTGTTTTTTTCAATAAACAGAAAGAAATGCACTAAACTGTAATTCAATTTCAACTATTAAATTCACATTTTGAGTCATATTGTTCTATATGTTGAGCACTAGAAAACCTTTATCCCATAGAGAGTGTACCTTAAAAAGCTCCACTGGTGTAAACCACGATATGTCACTCTGCTTGTAAATAGAATCCAAGTATCTCATATATGCTTTTCGGCCTGAAATATGTCACCACCCTACTTACATTAGAACAAACCACCAAAAAAGTATAATCAAGGTCAAATAGAGTTTTCCAACTTCTTAGATTGGCAATGAGTATTAGACCAGAAAATTGTCTGAACTGAAATCATCCAAAAGCAGAATATTGAAAATCAACGTCCCAAACTAATTGGTTATAACCGACTGTCAAAATAATCAAACAAAGGGTCGTTCTTAATGGGGTAAAGAACACTTGACCTCCTTCAGGTATAGTAAAACAACATTAACATTAGCTCCATTCTCTTGTAGAACTGACAAGGAAACAAGGGGATGTCATTATTTGCCAGCTACAGTAGCAACAATAGCAACAGCTCCACCAGAACAAAATCATAAAGCCAAAAAATTCCATGGTGTAATCCAAACTAATAAAACCTTTTGGCTATTATTTCCATAGTAATCTCTACTCCCTACTCCTTTCTTTCTCAAAACAACCTCAACATCCTTCCTTAAGCCATGGAATCCTACCTTTTATCAACATGTATCAGAGCCTCTGACGAATATGATTCAGGTTCTAGTGTTGATTAGCTATGAACTTTGAAATTGACAACAAGCCATTAGATAAACATCAATGATTCATGGTTCAGCAGCCTAAGTTGCTAAAGATCGAAATTAAAATGCCAGTCTTTCATTGCTAGTTTGAGTCACCAATAGTTAGAAACTTGCATTTGAAAGTAGTTAAGTTAATATAATCCAACATATACACTATTATAGTATCAATTCTTGAAAATGAAAGTAAGTGAACAATAAATAAATGCATACAGCAAGACCTTGAAGTTGATTGAATTTAATACTACTGGGAAGAACTCCAACAGATCCGGATCTTTGAGAGAAGTAGCCATGTAATGGATGGTACAATGCAGAATGAACAAAATCCCGAACCTGCTCAACAATTGAACAAAAATTACCGCCACAGGTACATGCATCGATTTGAATTCCAAAGATACGAGGGAATGGATTCCTTACAAGAACGGGACTATCGCCGACGATGTTGGTGGTGTAGAGAGCTTCAAATGGAAGACCCCACACTTGATTTGGAATCGCCAAAGAGAAACGCAGTTAGGTTAACTGAGAAAAGCAGAGAGAGAAGAGAGAGAAAGCGAAAGAGTACCTTTGGAGGAGAGAGAAATGAGAGGAAGCGTGCGACTGCGAGTAAACATGGTTCTACTTCTTCTACCCAACAACAAAGGGGTGGCTATGCTCTTAAACCCTGCTTCCTCTCACTCACTATTGAAGGGTTTTGTTGAGTGACTTAGAGCCTGTTTGGATCCTCTTATTTTTAAGCTAGAAGCTACTTATAAGTTAAAGCTAAAAAAAAGAGCTTAAAAAAAGAAGCTAAAAGCTGTTTGGAAATTACATAAAAAATTTAGCTTAAAAATTACTTAAAAGCACATATTTCAAGAAAATTATCTCTCTCTCTCTATCTTTATCATTCTTCATTTTAAAAAAAAAGCACACAATTCAAGAAAAACAGATAAGAGCTAAAAAAAAGCTCCTCCTTGGAGCTTTTAATTTTCAACTTTTTCTTCATTATAAAAAAAAGAGCTTTTCGTTATAAGAGCTTTTTCCAAAACCTGTTTGGCCTAGCTTATGCTTATAAGTAGCTTCTAGCTTAAAAATAAGAGGATCCAAACAGGCACTTAGCTATATCTATCTAAATTCTCTTGGACTTGTTTTTAACTCTCTCTTTTCTTCTTTTGAAAATATTTTATCAGTTTATTGTTTCGCGATTATTTCCATTCGAAACTGATTTAGGATTAAGATTTTAAATCTCTCTCAAAAATAGTACTGAGAAAGATAGAATAAAATTAACTCTCTCTTTTTATTTAATATATTTTTATTGATAATTCTAAAAATATTTTTTGTCTCTATAGTTTTGTAGATGCTGCAGTATTTTTATTTTTTTATTAAAACTTTAGGAAACTAGAAACAAATAAAAAATAAAATGATGTTTCAAAGTTATTGATAAAAACGTATAAGAATAAAGCGATTAATGTTTCTCCTTTGAAATAGAAATAATTTTATCCCTTACATTTACGTAAAAGTTGGTAATGTCTCGTGAAGAGAGGAAAGAAAAAGAGAAAAATGCATTTCATTTACTTTCATGTAAAATGTAGGAGATAAAGTCTCACATAAAAAATAATTCCCAAAAATAAAAATTCAAAACAAACTAAATTCCATTTTCTAAATTGTATGGAGTACTTTCTTGATGGCTAGCTATTATTAATTAAAAAAAATTATTAGGTACAAGTTATGGTAAGGCTCTTAAGAGTAGACATGTGGATTGAAGAACAACTACCAGACATCTTTACAAAGGTTCTCTACCTTCATGAATCATGGTTTGCATTTTTATGTGACATGTTGATTGTGGCTATCTCTAGAAAGTATTCAATTTGAAGGTGAATGTTTTGCAGATCGCTTGTAATGATAATCTCGTTGTATATGAACTTACACACATAATAATATTTATATAATTTTTTTATACATATATTTATTCAGTTTTTAGCATTCGATAACAATATTTCACCTCATTTATTAGCACTTACACTCTAAATATATCACTTCACATTTGGTGATGTGCTTCGTGCCAATGTGCATTAAGTAATATTCATGTAGTTGTTGGGATTCAAATGGCTTGTGAGTAAAATGTAGAGTTCATGTGAAGAAATCTAAAGTCATAGCACATAAAAATTTGAGTTGAGACTTGAGATATGTGATAAATTAGTGATATTGGACAGACTCATTTTTTTAGTATTTGATAACAATATTTCATCCCATTTTTTTTTCTAGCTTATGCTGAATTTAAATTTTACTAAAAAAGAGGAGTGATGGTCGAATTTGTAATCCCGGGATCATAAAGGCTTTAATATTATAATAAACAGCCATCTCACTCAAAAGGTGAAACTGAAGGCTCATTAAGGTTTTTATATTCCATCTTTTTGATTTAAGTACTTTGAATAACAGATCATACAAAGTGTACCAATGATTATAATACCTCAATGTGCCAAACAGTGACGGCGGATTCAAAAAATATTATTTATGTCCGCATATTTAGTGACGGGGTCTGCCCTTGAAATATTTTTTTTTTAAATTTAAATGCATTAAAAAACAAAAAATATAAATAAGAAAAAAAAAATATCAAATTAACATAAAAAATTATTTCCAATACCATTTTTTTTTAATCAAGCTGATTTGTTATATGGCATCATAAAATATCCAATAAAACATATGGCATCTCATTCCATCTCACCGTATTCTATTCATTTTCATTTCATCCCTCATTATATATCCAGGCAAAGCCTAATTTAACCAACATCATGCTTTACTATTATACTTAAAAAAATAAAATAAATAAAATTTCATAGATTTATGTCCGCACTTGCGGACAATTGGCGACCAAACAGGTCCGCCGTTGCAAACAGTGGTTTGGTATTAATATTCTACTTTTTACGCATTTTGCATTTCAAATCTTATATGAACTATCATATATAATTATAAATGCAGGCTGGCTCATTTATAAATTAATTTAACCGATATTCTTGGGGTAATAATTTAGTATTTTGACTTGAAAAAAATAGTCATCTGAGGATGTCCTTATGGATATGATCATATGATCTCGTAACGCTTTGTGGATACTGCACTGATAGTCTGAGAAGTTAGAAACTACAAGAACTGAAATAACTAAGGTTAGAGTGTTTAGAGCTTTAAGGGCAGGACTCACGAAACCACAAAAATATAGGTAACTGCAAATTTGAGGGCATAAATGATAAGCAACTGCTCGTACTAGGTAAAACTCACCCTTATTATTGATAGACGGATAGGCTCATACTTGAGCTTCATAACTGTTGACACTAGACAGTATTCTGTAATATTTATTTTTTATACAAAAGATGACATTTTATGAATGTTGGAGTTTTGACTTAAGAAAATGCCATCCCTAATAAGTAACCTTAGATGGGGTGAAAGAAGGGACTCTACAAAGAAGTACAACTATGAAAAAAGCACAGATTCTCAGTGGGAATCTGCTTTCTCAAAGTTCCCTTTACCTGATTTCAATCTCCATCTTAAACTCCTCTCCAATAAGCTGTGACAATTTTGAAACTTCTATAATAAGAAACTGAGAGGAGCTATCAAATTGTGTATTCACAACTGTCTTCCTCGTTGGATTTGTACCTTTCACAACATTTAACTCATTCCCTGCCAAATCCGTTCTATTATATCCCTTATGCTTTGGTATCCCCAAGAAAGTTACCTTATCTATGATCCACCTTTGGTCCAGAGCAAATCTTCCATTAGTGACCTTAGATGTAACAATAACACTATTGTTGTGTAATGCACCATAAAATCTTACCAATGTCCACTGCTCTCTCCAAACTTGTATGTCAAGTGCCTCCCCATTATCCAAATAGACTTGTCCATAACTATTTCTGCTGCTACTGACAACCACCACAAGCTGAAATGCAGTCTTCCGTGCAGCTTCAGTTGTCATTGCTTCTCCTTGCAAGGCCAAAATGTTACCTTCCCCAACATGCACATTTATGTGATCAGATGGTGCATCAAGAGTGACATAATTGCCTGATTTTGCATTCACTGAATTTGAGACATTAAAGAGGTCAAACCAGCTTCCAGCAGGAAAGTAAGCATCAACAGTGACTGCCCCAGATTCTAGTACAGGTGACACCAGAACCCCTTTCCCTAATAGAAACTGAGAGTTTATTTCATATGTTGCAACATCCTCTGGGAATGAAAAGAAAAGGGGTCTTGCAATTGGTGTCCCTTTTGTATGTGCTTCATACATTAATGTGTACAAATAAGGGAGAAGACGATAACGGAGGCCAAGCACTTTCCTAGCTGATGCAGCAACTGAATCCCAAAGGTAAAGCTCTTGCCGGATGGATTCTATAGCTGAATGATCTCTAGCAAAGGGATAAAAAGCCCCCAACTTACATTCAGGAAAATAAAAAGAATTAGACATGTATACTATGCATTTCAAAGTTTGTTTCTGCATATTTTTTCACAAAACAAAAATCATAGCACTTTCCACATGTGACTTTAGTAAATTTAGGCAAGACAAGTATATGAATACTACTGCATTTGAGGATCAATTTTCTTTTTTTACCTGGATCCAGCGCCTGCAAAGTTCTTCAGTTGTATCTCCTGAGAAACCACATATATCTGCTCCAACCATTGGAATTCCAAAGATTCCAGAATTTAATATTGATGGGATTGAGTATGCCAAATCATTCCATGTAGCAGCATTATCTCCTGTCCAATGGGCTGCATACTTACCAGAGCTTACAAAAGTTGATCTACTGAGAATGAATGGCCTTCTACCCGTTATATCCACTAAAGCCTTGTTAGTTGCTTTGCTTTCCAGGAGTCCATACAAATTGTGGGCATCATACTCTGTGATATGACCAAAGTGTAAAGATGTTGCTGGGACTGTATTGTTATTAATTGGTCGTAGAACTCCAGCATTGTTAATTTTGTAGGGAGGGTTATCAAGACTAGAAAATGGAGTGGGAGGAGAAGTAATGAAATTAGATAACTCATTCATGTCAAGCCAAAGACCATCGAAAGGGAGAAGGTCCTGAAATATTTTGATTTCCCAACCCCAAAATGCTTGGCTGCGGGGGTTTAGAAAATCAGGGTAGTAAACTGGTCCAGGCCAAACTTCACCCAAATAATTGACTCCATTTCTCTTTATGTAGATATCAGCCTGCAAACCTCTAATAAAGGTTGCATATGTCTTGTTTACACTGATACCTGTTTACAAAATTTGCCTCAAATCAATAACAGATGCTTCCTCAAACATTAAGAGAAGATTATGCTATGTTTTGTTTGAAAGAAATTTTATGGTGTCAGAATTAGGTACCGGGATCCAAGATAAGCACATATTTCTGACTGTTTCGGTGAAGAGTATCAACAAATCTTCTCATCTTATCCAGTGGAAAGTTGATAGGATCAAATGTGAAATCTTTAAATGCAGCCATGTAATCAATATCTGTCCACATAACTTCAAGGGGTATACCTGCTTTTGCATAGTTGGCAACCACACCCTCGAGATCACTTACATTCTTGTAGCCATATCGACACTGATGAAAACCTTCATAAAAGAGAAAATAAAGATATGGATTAGCATGGCAAGTAGATAAAATGGATCAGCATGAACAGACAGACAATTGCAATTCATAAGTTAGATTTTTTTTAATAATGTCTGTGAAATAATGCAAAGAAAAATTCATAAACCACGCAAGTGCCCTTGTAAGAAACAGAGTAGCAAGATCCATCACTATGAAAAAAATAGTGTGATGATTTATCAGCTTTGTCCTTATCGGTGCTAAAAGCTTTCTAGAAGGAAAAGAAAATAAAGCTATTTAGCTTTATCACTTGCTATATTTACTTCTGTTAAAAAAGGAATCTTGCTATATTTACTAACCCCTCCCATTCAAGAAAACTTCCTTTGATTAATGCCTAGGATTCTTCTATTCAATTGTTTCTCTACTTTCAAAAATCTGCTATAGGTATATGCATCTGCAATATGAGAACCAATATTCACTTAGAAACTTGTGCAGCAACAAGTAAGCAACGATACCAATGGCTTAGCTAACTGTTTCGTTACCATTCAATTTACCAATATTCTCAAAAACTTGACATGTTAAGGGTAAACCTAGAAATGTTTTTATTCATAACACCAATAATGGTAAATCAAAGAAACCATAAGATTAAAGAAACAACCAAATAGTTATGTATAATAATGTTGGGCACCCATCCCCCAAAAAACAGGATCAAACTCATGATGCAAAGGGATAACATATAAAGAACCAATTCAACCTAAAGTGATGACAAATTAATGATTTTATATATTATATCTCATACCAGAGGTGCCTATGACTTACCAAAGGACCAATAAGGCATGGGAGCAGGCCTCCCAATGAGTTCAGTGTACTGTTCCAACACAAGTTCCGGAGAGGATCCAGCAAAAAAATACAGATCAAATATCCCACCAATCACCTTAAAAGTAACACGATCGCCACCATACACAATGTCCATTCCATTGCTGTTAAGCAACAAAACACCATGTGTTGTCCCAGCCTTCACTATTCCATCTGGGGATGGCGATCTAACATCCAAGTAAAACGGGTGAGACCCATAAAGATTCACGTCAAGGTTGGCACTAGCTATGTCTGCATTCCACAGCGTGAGGGTCTCGTTGGGTTGCAGCTTGAAGGAGCTCTTGGTGTGTTCCCCGAGACCATAGAGAGAGGCCCTATGTGCAGGGAGGGATGAAGAAAGTTGCAAGTACTGGTCTTTGAAGATGAGAAACGTTGCAGGGTTTGAAGGGTCTGGTGCAGTGTCGAAGAGGACATCGTTGGAGGATTTACGTGAGACAGTGAAACCAAATGGGGTGGTGTTGTGGAGTGTGAAGATCAGGTCTGAGTGTGGATGAGTGAGAGTGTGTTTTGGTTGTTGGATATGGTTGAAACCTTGCTTGCTATTGAGAGAACGGAAAGGGTGATATTGAAAGGTCTCTCTAGGAATCACTTCTTGTGGAACTTCCCATCTTTTGTGATAGGAGTCACTGATTCTTACTCTTAACCTATCCTTAGTCTCAAAACTGCAATTCAGAATAATAATAACCAATTATAGATATCATAGATAGCAAATGAATCTCTATGTGTCAAAAAAATTATGATAATTTAATGGGATGGATTATATGTATGTGCAGTTTCAGGGTTTGATTGGACAACGTTAAATTGTTGTTGTTACCTGGCAGCGAGGTTGAGGTGTGGAATGTCGGGTCCGAAAACAGAGGAGAACTTGATGAGGTTAAGGTAAGCAGTCAAAGAGTTTCTTGTGGGATTATTGTTTACACTTGAGATGGTGTAGCCATAACCAACTGGAGTTACTTCCGATGATGAATCTGCCACAGCGTAGCAAAAGATGAGACAAATACAGATACAGAAGGCTGATGAGAGTGGAGTCAGAATGGTTCTGGTTTCAGTCCTCCAATCTGTAGCCATTGTCCCAGTGTCGATGTGAGTGTGAACATTGACAAAAATGATTGTATATCAATTTATATGCATCCACCTTGGGGCCAATGAAGATGGTAGAAGCAAGACAAGTTGAATTGGGATAACTGATGAGTATTTTTTTTTTTGGAAACATAACTGATGAGTATTGTCCTGGTGCTCTTGCAACCAACCACCATTTTCCATTTGGATTGAAACTTCTTTTTGTATATTTATGTTTGAGATGAATATTTATAGTATGATAAGAGGGGATAGGTTATACTTACAACATTTTTTTTTTACAATCTCTTACAACCATATATCATAATCGTTGATTTTCGTCAATCAACGGTTATGATTTTCGCAAATTAAATTCATTAATTAATTATTAATTCATAATAAATGATAACTGTTGATTAGCGGAAATCAACGGTTATGATATATAGTTGTAAGAGATAATTTTATTTTCTTCACATATATAAAGAGTCTATGTGTGGTTATAAGAAGAGAAAAGAGAAAAAAAAAAAATACAAGTTATATATATTTTTATGTATACGTAGAAAATAAAATTATCTTATAAAACATTAGAGATAATAATCTATATTTTTTTTTTTTGTGTAAAAAAAGTTTTTTTGGCACACTCACAAGTACTGAGTCCAATTAATTTTTTCACTTTCTTCTCTTAAATTCACTTATTCTTATGTGAATGTGATAGAAAAAAAAAAATTGTGTAGCTGAAATGTTAAACCCTCTATTTAATTAAAAATTGCTTATGATAAAAAAAATTGAAGATACAAAATGTCACAGTTATGTATGGGATCAGTGGCCCGGTCATAAAAATTTTTACTTCAGCTTTTTTTTTCTTGATTGTTGGTGTTTATTTGTCTCTTGGTTCAATATATATATTAAGAGTAAATACTCTTTTAAGTCCTTAACAAAAAACATGGTCTCTATTTTAGTCCCTCACAAAAAAAAATTAGTCTCAAGGTCCCTAAAAATCTTAAAGTGGATCAATTTAGTTAAAATCATAGTCCCTCATAAATTCAAAAAAGACCTACATTGGTCCCTCAAAAAGACCAAAATGAGTTCACTTTGAATTTCATATGGATCATGTGACTAATTTTTTTTTATAATAGACTAAAGTGTGAATCGAGTTTTTTGTTAGGGACCAAAAAAATATTTATTCTTATATTAGTTAGTAACGTAGTAATGTACGGAGATGATTAAAATAATGTAGCAACACAAATTGATTAGAGAGAAAACTTATTCTTTCTTCCCTGTCACGTACTCATTTTCCATGCTCTCTTTATCCTTTGTTTCCTTTTTCATTTTTATAAAAAGAGATGATTGATTGCAAAAAAAATTCGGGGCCCCACCATTAAATATGCGGACATAAAAAATTAGAGAAATATTACTCTTCTTTCACATAAGGTAACTTATCTCATTTTCTCTCACTTCGATTTTCGCACCCTACTTTTTTCTTCTTTTTCTTTTTTCTTACAATGGTGGAACCCAGTCATTTTTTCTCTACCACATATAACTATCTTATATTGAAGGAGATTAATAAAACTCAAAAAATTATTCCTGGTCCGCCACTGTATGGGTTAATTAAGATTTGGGGTCATGTACTCATGTCATATTAATACAATTAGATTTAGATTTAGATTTTGCTTAAATTTGAGTTTACCGAGAAGTGAAGTTTCAGTTAAGTGAATTTTTCTTTTAAGATAATGTTGTAAAAAAAATTCTTTGGATGTATAACTAAAAAAATAACAGATAATTATTTGTGTGTATTTGGTTTAAACTGTAAAATCAATATTATTATTTTTTTGATTTAGTATACGATTTTGCATTCAAATAGATAGATTTATGTTACTTTTAAGACTTCAAATAGTCTTCTTAATTCAAACCTAAACACACTCCAATCGTATAAATTAATTGAACAGATTTATGAATATTTGTACACTGGGTTAGCTTTTCAGAATAATTGTTATTCTATTTTTAACTCACTCTATTTTACCTATTAATATATAATTATCTCAACTGATATAAACTTTTCTAATTTTCATTTGATAATTATTTTGTTAATTTTGTTTTAATGACTAATTTTTATTTAGTTTATTCTTATTTAGTTATAATGGAACTATTTTTCACCAGTTAAACATTGTATCTCGGATACGAAAATAGCTCTCAAGAAGGTGGTCGGTGAAACTCCCTCATGCATACAAGGAAGACAATGTCTATGTGCAGTGGCGGACCCAGAAAATTATATGAAGGGGGGCGAAAATTTAACAAATCCAACTTATAGAATTTTAAATAAAATATAATTTAACAAGTATACTAAATTGACGAATTTAACATAAATTACTTCATTGCCATGTGCCGTGTCAACAATGAAAAGTAGGAGAATCATAATCTTAAACCAAAAAACATGTACAACGGTCTGAAGAGATGCACCCATTAAATAATTTTAATAACAAATATAATCACATAACTAAAATAAATCCAAAAAGAGGGGGAAGCTCATAGAACCCAAATTAGGCGAGCACCTAAAACTAACATCATAAAGTTCCATAATGCCCACATCACTACAGACCCATATACTTCAGTTATCAAGCACCATAAAGCTAAACAAATAAATTCCAAAAATTATTGCAAACTATAATTATTTTATACCCATTTTTTTCTTTCACTTTTTGTTGGCTTTTGAGCATTTGAACAGCATGAAACTACAAAAAGATCAAAACTTTACAAAGAAAAAGTGAAAATACTCACAACAGGAAAATGGGTATCAAGCTTCTTTCTCATGCTAACAGATTTTGGGTATCAAATGAAGCAAAAGAAGGAGACTCAGAAAGTGAAGTCGAAAGCTTTGAACAAAACGACTGTACCGATCATCAACAAGATGAAATCAATGCAACTCATTTCAGATCCAAAGGACACACAATACTAGTTTTGCTAAAGTAACCCACCAGTTATGAAAACTGAAATATACTATGTATTTTTTTGGGGATGTAGACATTTTTTTCAGATTTTAGAGGGGGGTGGCCGCCCATGCACGCCCCCATGTAGGTCCGCCCTTGTCTATGTGGATTGACTTGCTAATCTTCCTATTGAGTGCCCAGATGAGGAAGATTATTTGATTTCTGATCTCCCCTTAAGAAATTAAATGGTTATTTTTTTTGTGATTTGAGTTCTGTTGATTGGTTTAGATGTGTTCTGATTTAGTTTGTTTTTGGTTTGTTTGCTTTGGGATTTTAGCCTTTATTCTACCAAAAAAAAACATATATTGATGTGATCCTTAGGTATATTCTTTAATGTGATGTGATCCTTAGGTATATTCTTTGATGCTATATAATATATCATATATGGGGCAGGTTATATTTATAAATTTTTTTGTTTACAAATTCTTACAAACTACACTAAATACGATCGGTCATACTTTAATTATGCAGTGTACGACCGATCGTACTTAGTGTAATTTGCAAAAAAAAGTTTGTAAACGAATCATATCCCATCATATATAAGAATGAAGTGATTTGGGGTTTTTACTAATTACAAAAAAAAAAACTGATTTGGGATTAGCTTTATCAAATGACTTGTCCGTTTAGATGAGCTTTTTTTAGTCAAAAGTTATTTTTTTTTATAAAAAAAAGCACTTTATTATAAAATACATTTGGATGCTGTTTTTTAAAAAAGTAGAAGTTATAAAAAGTAAAAGTTAATTCAGAATGAGAGATAAAAACAATATTAATAAATAAAGTTAAATTTATGTGGTGATGATATAATTTTCTTAACTTTAATCTACTCTAAAGCTAAAGAACAGACATATACTTCTTCGCTTGACCCAATCAATACAATTGACAATACCAAATCATAATGGTGATTACACCCTTTATTAATCTAAAATCCTTCGTAGTAATGAACATTATCAATAACGTAGACCAAAAACATTAATGTGGTAGTGTAACATAAAAACAATATTAAATTTTACTCTCTTTGAGAAATAAATTATGGCATGCTCACCAAGCAAGAAGCACTGCATGCAGCATGCTCAATCTCTTGCGAGAATGAAATGTCACTATCATACTCTCTTTGAGCATGAAATGATGTATGAATTGTTAGTGAGGCTAAAGAGCCAGGCATATATATAATCCCAAGGGGTGTAATGATTATTACAGGGGTGTCTTTGACAACAATGATATAGACAAAGATATGGGTGTTCATCAATCGATCCAAACTGATTTAAACCGCGGTGATCGAACTGAAAAATCGATAATCGAATAAACCGAAAAATTGAAAACAGAAAAAAAAAAAAAAAACCGCAAATTTTAATTGGATTGGATCGATTTTTGGATTGATTGATGAAAACTGATCCAATCCAAACCGATCTAATATATTAATTCTCTTCTACCTACTTGGGTCTTTCCCCAATCATAGCCAAAAAATTTCTAAACCCAAGATTCATTAACCCATCAACCAAACCCAAGAAAAAACCTAATCACATCTCATCAACAAAATTTCATCTATGTAGAGCTTCATATCTCAATTTCAAAAAAAAAAGACTATGTGTCATGGACCTGACAAAGGAGAATATTCTAGAAGGTCCAATACAGGACAACGCAAACAGGAGGGGAATCTTCTATTAATGTCGATCCTATCCAGACAGCTAAGCAACCCATATTCTAGAAGGTCCAAATAGGGCTAACAACTAAGAGGGAATTAAGGAAATATTCCTTACTTATACTAATCTTACTACGACAGCAATAGATCAACAATTGGACCCTCAATACTCTTAAGAGGCCCAAAAATCCACTCCTGCCAAGTAACCCATATATAAATAAGGGGTTAAACCAATAAAGTACACACGCTCTAAACCCTCTCTCTTAGCTTATCACTGTGCACACACATTACGCCTTGACTATGTCGTTTCTTTTATTGTGCACAGTGATCCACTGATCTCTAGGGTACCTCCCTCATAGGTACCTGAGAGAGGACAAACAGATCTAATATTAAATTATCAATCTCTGATTGGACATTCACGATCTATCAGATCGTAACACTATGTTATCATTTACTGATGC